GGGGGGGGTTATTGCACCAGCAGTCACATGCTGAAGTGTCTATGGGCAAGACACTGAACCCCTCATTGCCTCTGGTGTGTCCCATCGGTGCATGAATGTGGAAAAAGCAATGATTATTCTTTGTATAGATCTAGTAGAGTGCTGTATAAATGGAGGCACAGATTGTAGTGTAAGGTGCTTTGAGTATCTTGATAAGACAGAAAGGTGCTATATAAGTACAGTCCATTTACCATACACAGTGGCAGGTTCAGAATCTCATGTTAAGATAGACTTCAAATGCAAACTATTCCTTTGTAGCAATTCCTTTTAAGAAATGAGGTCTATTTGTCCTCTAGTATTCTAAGCCTGTGGCAGCATAACAAGCGAACCCTAATTATAGGATTTATAAAAAAGTAAATTCTTAAGACCAGTCTTAAAAAAAAAAACAAAAAGACATCTTAAAGTTTTTTCCTTTTTAAGAACTTTCTGAAGTGTCATTTACATTTACACATGGGTCAAATATTGCACCTTTTAACAGGAATCTCTTAATATGATCTCATATTTGTCCTTCTTATACATTTCAAGTGGTGTTTGACAAACCTTTCACATTCTTCATTACTGACAGAAAGATTATCTGATAACATGAACAGCAAATAGGCTGTTAACTTGCATTCGGTCTGTTTTTGGACTTCAGATCCTTCCATCTGCATAAAATAAGTCTCCTGGGTAGAAGTGAATCAAAAGCAATAACATCCCTCTTGTACTTGCTGAAGGACATATCCACAGGGGCCACCCCAAACAATAAAATATATGGTGACAGGTGCACAGTTTTTCCACATATCCCAGAGAAGGCATCAAAAAAAGATTGCTAGTAGGTCACAAGTTTTGGACATGTCCAGAATGTGTGTAAGCGCATAGCTGGAACTTGTATACAATGATTACATGCAGGATCCAGGTTGGCTTTAATCTTGAACATCTCGGCTTTGGACCAATGCAGCCGGAGCACCACCTTGAGTTGAATTACAGCACATCTCAAACAGATTGAGGATGAATAAAGGTTTTGAATGATCTTTCGCCAGACTGAGTGTGATGTGGATTCCTCTAAGACCATTTGTCATTTCGGTTTAAGATAGTCCAAACTTGTCTCATTGTATAAACTGAGCTGTGTATGAATCTCGCTGAGGGCCCCCCTTAATACCAGACCTGCATTCCAAAATCTTAACCACAAAATGTTTAAAGGGGTACTATGGAAAACAGAGTTAGACCTCAGCAATGCCTGGTTTGCAGCTATCTGCTTGTTTATGGCAGTGAGGTCCATGGGAGAAATCTTTGTTGAATTTATGTGGTCTTAGAATTGGTTGTCTGTTGGATTCTTGTAATGGTTCAGCACATGAGATATTGGAGGCTCTAGTGGTGTGGCAAACACTGCCGGCAGAGCAGGAAACGCTAGCAGCACAATAGACACTGGTTGCAGAGGAGACACTGGCAGCACAGGAGACTCTGGCGGTGGAGGAGACGGGCTTGGGACTCAGTGGACTGAGCTTGGTTCTGTTGTTGTTCCTTCCTGTTACGGTAACAGGATTAAATGTGAAAGGACCTTTGGATGGAGCTGATCCTTCAGACAATGGACTGGGTTTGCTGGAGCTTGTAGAGGTGGGCGACCGGAGAAAGGTGCGCAGCTCACGTCACTCCAACACCTTCTCAAGAAACTCCATCATCCTTGGGGAATCAACCAGCCCTGGCAGCAGGGCAAACTTGCCCTAAAAGTCCTCGGTGGCCACCCACTTCATCCACAGGTTGCTGGAGGTGGAAACTGTGTCAACATATTTTCATGTTACCTTGCTGAGCCTCTGTTTGTCCTTTGGGGTGAGCTCTACAAATAATGGGAAGCCTGCTGGGTTCATTTTTTTAGGTTGGAGGATTCTATCACACTCTGGTGATGGATTGAACCCAATGTGCTGACAGACGCACAGGGAACTTGAAGGTAAAAGAACAATATTTATTAATAAAAAACAAAAGGCTGACGTGGCCAGAAAACTTCCATTCATGAACGTGGAGACACAGAGGGAAACAGAATGTGATGCCTTTTCAGGACAATCCACTGACAGGAAGAACAAGGAGACGCAGACTATAAAGAGATGCTAACGAGGGAATAATTAAAACACCTGGGGGAGGACAATGAGGGACAGGTGCAACAGGAGCTGGCCACACGAGAGAAAAACACTGAGGACGGCTGGACAGACGAAACAAGAAAAACACAAATAACACACACATACCCTCAATATTTTTTAGTTTCAATGTAAAAAAAAAAACACATTAAAAAAAATTCAACAAAAAATAAACTTTATAGAAAGTGCAGAAGCAAATGAAGGTGATGGAAAATGCACATTAAATGTATTCTGTGATAACCAATCAGATTCTTTTGACTTCATCACCACTCCTCCTTTTGTCCTTTAAGACACTGAGTGTTGAGCAAAGCACAGTCGCCATGCTTCTGTTGTGGGTCACAGTGCTTCAACTCTGTCAAGAATGTAAGTATTATCAGTATCTATGGTAAAATAATTTATCTTTTAGCTTCCTGATAATTGGAATACATTAGTGTTGTGTTCCTGCTAACTATTTCACTTTAAAGATGGTTTGCTCTGTCTTATTTATTACAGATGCTTTGGTTCCAGTGGTCACAGTTCAGCTTGGTGATCCTGTTACGTTGACCTGTGCTGTTTCCGAGAGAGTTCAGAGCATCACATGGCTTCACTGGTACACACAGAGTGTAGGAGAAACTCTGAAACTAATTATGATGTATCAAAAAAACATCAAATTCAACTTTGAGCCAGAATTTCCTGCTTTAAGATTTAGTGCAATGAATGATGAAAAAATAAACAAACTAACAATTCTGAGGACAGTTCAACAGGATGAAGGAATATATCACTGCGCTCATATGGACTGGACTCAATTACATGGAGTGGGATTTATTTTTATATAAAAGGTAACACTTTAAAAAAACTAACTTGCAACAGCTTTAAATAAAATATACATGTTTGTATATGTAAAAAATGTGGGAATACACAAAGTAGTTTATAAACCTCTTCAAAATTTGTACTTTTGATCAACAGTCCTTGAAATTTGTTAATTTTTTTAATTCTTATTCTAGAAAACAGAGAGAGGATCTCAAACTACACTGTGGTATTGGATCCTGCTCATCCAGGATGCAAATGCATTGGAATTTTTTAAAAATGCTTAAATTTATTTTGTACTTTGGAACGAGGATATAGCCAGAACAAATGAACAGATACTTGGGAGAGATCTCAGAACATCTAATTTTTAATAAAGTCATGTTTAAACTTTTTAAGGTATTTTTTTTAGGGTGTATTGTGACCACTTTATTCCTAGCCTCCATGCTATGCTGCCTTGCGTTAATAATGGGTGCAATAATGGACCAAAACTGGCATTTGTTTATGTGCGAACAGCACGAGCTAACATAGTTTCTCAGAGCATTGTGGATTTAATTTAAACATGTAGGAACACCATCTGTCGGAGCTCAAACGGGACAATATAATCATACCACTGCCTGCTGTAGACAGGGAAGGGAGGATGGCATGAAGAAATGGCCTCAGATTCCATCTACTTGCATATTTACTGTAGGTACTTCACTGACTCTGTTCATCTGATGGGGAAACGATGAACAACCTGAAAAACCGAGGTTTATTCGTATCTACACAGTAATAAAGTCAGTCGCGTTTTGTGAAAAGAGGTGGCACACAATCTTATTTAAAGCAGACATGGAGCCCAGCCAAAACCTTAGTCCTCCATCACAAAGCTTGGGTTAATTGCAGAGAAAATCGTAATACTGAAGATGAACAAATACTACTGTGTAATGCTGTGCCCTTCATACACTTGAAACCACACCTGATATTCTCGTCACGTTGTTTTCAATCCTTCTGAGGGTCCGCCATCTCTTCTCCAGTGACTTATTGTAGCCCAGCCATAAAGTAGAATGCAGGGTTTCCTCCGTCGCCCATTTGTCAACAAAGTGAAACAAAAATATTTATTTTACTATTTTTTATTTTATTGATCCCGCAGGAATTTGTTGTGCCAGAGTTTCATTGCTATAGTTTGGTTGGCCGTGCAGCGGCGAACAGCCCAACAAGTAAATGAACTCTGCATGGCTATTTTTAATTTTATTTCATGGTTGTTAAATAAATGTAAAACAGCATTTTATCTGCTAAACTGAAGTCAAATTCCTTTCAAATAGACCACGGTCCGTGCTCCGCTACCATGGTTAACCAATGATTACTGCTACTTCTGGTGTCTTAACAAGAAGTTGTACCCATAATTATTTATACAGTAGAGCCACCAGGAGTAAGGTGGATAGGAAGTGTACTTTGTATACTGTGATAACCAATCAAGTGCGATTTACGGTCTGGATCATCACTCCTCCTTCTGGTATTTAAGCGTGAAGCGTCTCATTGAGATCAATGTCACAATGACTCCGTTATGGGTTACACTGGTGCTTCTTCATCAAGGATGTAAGTACTATTTACACAGACTGAAACACGATATGTTCTCAGTTAAATGTGTTTTTGAGGATTGTCATCTAAGATTTTTTAACTTTTGCAATTTCTTATTGTTTCACGTCTGATATTTTTTCATATTTGATGCAGATTCTTTGGTTCCAGTGGTCACAGTTCAGCTGGATGAGTCGGTGACTTTTACATGTACTTTTACTGAGAAGTTTCACATCAGTACATGGCTTCACTGGTACAAGCAGACTGTAGGAGAGAATCTGAAACTGATCACTATGCTGCGAGGAAATACAAACCCTACTTATGGACCTGGAATTTCAGCCTCAAGATTCAATACAAGTTTCCATTCGAACGTTAGCACTTTGACCGTTCTGAGGACAAGTAAAGAAGATGAGGGGATGTATCACTGTGCTTTTATGGACTGGACTAAATCTACTTGGTCAGGAACATACTTGTCAATACGAGGTAACGTTAATATTCTAGTATGTTTTTTTCACAAACTTACGAAGTCTGTGTACATATTTCGTAGTGCAAAGTGAAAGCATTTTAACTTTATGAAGTTTTTTTTTTTTTAATGAGGATGATTAACTTTAGTTTTAGCTGTAGTTAAAGTAGACAGGAGGTACAGAACAGAAATTCAGCTGCTCATCACTCTGGTTAGTTTCTTCTTGAGCAACTTTTCACATAAACGGCATAATTCACGTTCTTAGTTGCAGGATTCTTTAAATACTAACATCCGGATGTGTTTCTCTTCTGCTGCACTTTGATTGATTTATTTATTTTTTCCCCCTTTTTTAGATGTTTTTTCTATTAGAAAAAAAAGTTTCTGGATGCTGAACTTTATTTGACTATTTTGTACTGCAATCAGTTTTAATCTTGTCCAAACTAATTAATATGAAACTCTGTTTTATATGTTAAACAATAACATTATCATTTAAAACATCTTGCAAGCACATGCTGGAAAAAAAAAGGTACCTAAAATAGTTCCCTTTTAGGAGAAAAGATAATGATACTTAATAATTACTTGATTTCTTGGCTTTAGCAGCTCGATTTGACCAAGTTTTATTTAAAGGTCCTTTTCTGTCTGAATAATCCTGCTGCTTCTTAATTGCAGATGTCAGCAAAAAGTTTTTGAAAATGCCACTTAAACCAGTTGCCAAATATTTCACTTGAGCTTCTCGCTGTGACAACCCCTGCAAGAAGGAAGACATTGAAAGGGAAAAACAAAAACAACATATTGAATTATTTTATGACAGTAGAAATAAAACATTTTCAAAACTGACTTCAATATAAATTTGTGCACCAGGTACATGTACCATTAAAGTGTTTTGTCTGCTTGACACCAGAAATTGTATTTAATCTGTGCCTATTAAATATGTCTGAAACATCATAAAACATTAAATTGATCATTAGGCTCAAGTAAGATTATTTTCATAAAAGCACAATATTTATATTTTCTGAACAGAATGACAAAAAGACATTTAAAAACTTTTTTTCTTACATTAAAATATACAGAGAAACTATTTTCAACAGTTGGCTTTTTATTGCATGTTCATAAGTAACAGATTTTAAATTATTATTAATATTGTCCTTATTCCAGGAAACTCTGTAAAGACATCCCGGTACACTGTTGTTCAGCAGACAACAGGTTCAGATCCAGCAGACTCGGTGACTCTGCAGTGTTCGGTTCTCTCGGACTCTGAGGACGAGTCGTGCTCAGGAGGTCTCGGCATGTTCTGGTTCAGATCAGACGAGTCTTCTCCAGACTTCCTCTACACTGATGGGAGCAGACCTGCTAACTGTGATGAGGCACGTGACACTGAAAGGAGATGCAGCTATGACTTCTCCAAGAAGATCAGCTCCTCTGATGATGGGACGTATTACTGCGCCGTGGCCGCATGTGGACAGATATTATTTGGAAATGGAAAAAAAGTGGATGCTGAAGGTAACTGCATCATCATAACTACATTTATTTAAGAAAAAAATTTGAGTAATATGGCCAATAATTGTTATCTGATAGAATCAAGACAGACTTTTACCTTTTTTTTTTTTTTAAATAATGAGTAACATTTTTTAACATTAATTCTTTTCTATGTGTTGTTTTCCAGATTCCAGCTTGTTGTCACCGGTAGTCCATCACGTCAGTCCAGTCAGTTTTGCGCTGTCTTCTGTCTTGGTTATTAGTCTGATTGTTATAGTTGTCCTCACATGTTCTGTCCACAAAAGAAAATGTGACTGTTG